AAATTTAAGTAAACTAAATTTCTAAAATTAAAACAAATTTATGTTAAAATGGTTCCTTTGTAAATGTTTTTTGGTATGTGATTTTTGTAAACCTTCTTTGATATTATGAGTGTTGTATAATACTAATATTTTTAATAGTCTGTGTTTATGATATTTTTTCATATTGTTATAATTACACTTGTGACAGTGTTTTTATTTCTAATAGTATTGTTTATTTTTCTGATATTGAAACCTTATTTGTGACAGTGGTGTAAATTGGATATGTATATACATGTGTGTGTGTGTGTAACTATTTTAATATAGACTTTCATTTGATCTATCTTTAGAGAGAGCGTTAAAGAGATCAAGAAGATGTTGATCAGCATCGGATCCCTACAAAATGCAAGAATTATTAGTGATGCACTTACTTTATAACAACATCCAGTCAGCATTACATACAAATATGATATACTTTAATAGGTGAAGCAGCATAAGAATACAAATCTCATGTTATTTAATAAAATGATTTCTTAATTTTATTCATTGATAGTAATAGCAAACAAACTTACTTCCCACCCACCTCTCAAAAAAAACATGGATGGTTAGTTGAAAATATGCTCTTAAATGTTTTGAAAATAATTTTCTGTCATTACATTTAACAAAACAAAGATAAGAATACTTAAAGTATCAAGTATTGAGCTTGAAATATCAATGAGAAAAATGTGTAAATAGATATATATATTAAACTAAACAACCATGAAAATATTTCAAAACACAAATATATTAAATCTCATCCAAAATTAAAATAAAGAAAATTAGGATGAGGGGTGGTAATTGAAATGTTGTCTGGAAGAAAAAAAAAAAGGTCACTCCTTTGTTTAATTTCTATATTTTTTAAATGTATGTTTTTACAAGTTCACTTGTGGTTATTTCAAGCTTCTATGTACAACTTGGTATTGTAAGGGTTCCTATTATTATTTTAGAACAGTGTCTCCCAACCACTGTGGCGTGGATCATTATTTGCCGGGACATGAAATGTTGTATAAATATTTCACCAAAGCTAAAAAAAAAAAAATTTATCAGTAACTTTCACTATTGTTATCTGCCTCCAATAATTAACTTTAACCTTTCCGCAATGGGTAGGTCAAAGTGCACACGTCACAACATTTTAATGATTTCCATTCAAAATATAATTAAACTACTTAATTATCATGGTATACAAATAAACTTCACATCAGAACATAGATAATAAATCAAATTTTAATATTATATAAGTTTTAAGTTCTTAATTTTATAAGGAAATATTTAAAAAAACTTCAATCTCCCCTAGTGTGAGAATTTTGACATTTGTTCTCTAGGAATCCTCTCTTCTCAAATTTATTTACCACCCTTCTGAGAAGTACAAAATCTAATGTAAATTAATCTATGATGTTGTCATCGATCATGCAAAGCAAAATATTTATACCCTTCAATCTTATTTGTCTAACTCTAAAGAGCAATTTAATAGAAAATCAGACCTCTCCTGCCATACCCATCTGTCACATCCTCTATTTTAAAATATTAGAATACTTACAGCTAATGTTATTACTGGGGCATGATGAAATATTCAAAAGATCTACCGGGGTGCAGTAGCTTTTGGGTTGGGAAACACTGGTTTAGAAGTTAATATAATCTTGTATTATATTTTTGATGTGTTAAATTTTCTTTTCTTTATTGGAGACTAAATATTTAAAATCACAGTAAACATATACTTGAACATGCTTATGTATATAGTTCAGCACTGTAATGTGGTTGTAAACTGATCTTTTCTTGTAAAATATCAGTTAAAGTAAACAATATAAAAAATAAAAATTCTCATGCAGACACTTGTGAAGTTACCTTTTGTTTTTTTAGTTTCACATTTTCAAATTCTTATTTGCTTAACTAAAGTTTTCATTACACAAATATGTTATATTATATCTCAAAGTCAAATACTTAGAAAGACATAGAGAAAATGCATAATTTAACTTAAAATATCCTTGCTAGTAAGCCAGCAAAAGAATTATAATTTAAGTTAGGTAAATAATAATATGAGGTATGTAATAGTAGTTTGATAAGAAGCATAGTGTGGAGTAATTCTTTACTAAATTGTTAAATACATCATAAAAAACCTTGTGTCTTTAAGTCAGAATCAGTAAAATTATTACAAAAATTTCCATTGAAGTTTCAAATATGTTTGAATTTTAAACTGAACACTAAAAATGATGAAGGAACAGTTTTACTAGAATACCTATGTTGCTCAGCTTATTTTTATCATTTTTAATTAATGAAATGATGAAATAAAGTAATTAATTTTTTAAAAAAGATTTCAAATATCATGGAGACATGTATATGTGTACATATAAAGCAAGATAACAGTGATTTTTTTCTGTAAGTATTGTGTGGATATTTCCATTTTTTGAACTATTTTTAAATCATAGAAGCTATTGTTATTATAATTTCCTAAATAATAGGAGATGTGTAATAGTAGTTTATAATTTTTTTAATGTTTTGTATTCGTTGTGATTTAATAATATCTTCACATTTTCAGGAATATTTCACCTGTGTTTTAGTGTCTTGATTTAATTATTTTGTCAGTTTCAGTAGTAGATTTAGTATAGGTAAAATGATGTTACAAGCAAAACAACAGAAGTAAAAAAATGTGGTGTTCTCTAGGTATCATTTTGACTAGAGTAAAGCACAGTAACTGAAGAGTAACTTTTTCTTTTCATATTAACCTGAAGAGTAGTTTTGACTTCTATAGAAAGTTATAATATTTTTAAAAGATTGAAAAGAAAATAGGTAAATAATTGCATATAAATGACTCATTCTATTCTAGACTATCTTTTAAATGCTGACTTCAAGCTTTTGAAAGCTTATTTTTCGAGAGTTCCACATATGGTAGTAAGGTACTATTTTATTTGCAAGCCTTTAATTCTATACCTAAAGATATAACATATTATGAAAATTGTTTTAACACAGTGTCAATCCATTTTGTGTGTTACACTGTTTTATTTTCCCATGTTTGAAGAATGGCTTTCAGTAATTACATTTTTAATTTTGTAAAATAGTAATTTTTATTCATCCTTCAGAAATTTTATGATTTTTTTTTCTTGTGTGTAATCATTCTCAGGGTAAGGATGAAAATATAATACTTGCAGTTTGAATGTGTATTTAATAAAATTTAACTTTAATTTTCTTGAAATGTAAACTGAGACATCACAGAATGTTTTAATATTATGAAATATCTTGTATACTTTCTTGTACTGTTTAACTTCTGATATTATGATATTACAACTGTAGACTTAAGATTTTTCAAATATCTTGCATAAACACTAATTAACATTTTTGTTTTATTTATCTTATCCTATTTTAGATAGTAATGCAGGAAAATTTTCTGCTATCTGTTGGAAAATAAACATAAATATAATTATTTTGTGCAATAATATGCTCAACAATAAAATGCATGGTAAAAAAAAACACTACAATGTAATAATTTATTCAACTTTCAAATATCAGTACTAGTTTCTCACTAGCTTGTCATGATAACAGTATGCAAAATAATCAAGAATTATCTCCTCCTTCAAACAAGACCAGCAGGGTATGAGATCATAAAAATAGGGCTTCCAGTCATACCTCCTGTTCAGCTGTCGCATACCTCAAGCAATTGGAAAATGCAATGGGTATTCTTGCTATTCCATATGAGGACATACCAGTCAAGTCACTGTACACAACACTGTGGATTTCTATTTGATCAGACTGTTGAAACACGTCTTCAGTTGTTTTTTTTTTAGCATCCTTGTATATTATATGTGGTATTAACTCTACCATGAACTGTTACTAAATCAGCAATTTAGGGTGAGTATTTGATAACTTGCACAACAGATACATAATGCCATGTTCAATGGCACTCCATAAAAGGTCATAGCTTGTGCACTTAGGCTGTATCCGTTTTTACAGTTAGCTTTAAGAATTCTCAATTATATATTTATGTAATTTATTCCCACTGTTTTTGACCTGATGGCTAGGGCGCTAGACTCACTATCTAAAGTTCTCGTGTTAAAATCCTCATCACACCAAACATACTCGCCCTTTCAACCATGGGGCTGTTATTACGTGAGACAGTACAACTATTAATGGTAAAAGAGTAGCCCAAGAGTTTGCAGTGGGTGGTGTTGATTAACTGCCTTCCCTCTAGTCTATCACTGCTAAATTAGGGTTGGCTTGTGTAACCTGGTGCAAAATTTAAACCAAACCCAATGTTTTTCTACCATATAGAAAACTGTTGTTGTTACTGTCACCCTATAAGACTTCACCAGTATTTTTTACACTTCCTCTTTTTATTATTCAGGGGTGATACTTTAGTCTGCATTTAAACTTGCGACTCATTCTTAATCCCAAAATTTTTGATTTGAAACATTATTTCTTTACCTTCAGAAATATAAATTCACATCAGTACTGACTTGAGTAATCAGAACCAGCCTTAGCCAAAATGGCACCCAAAACGGAATAAGCATTTGTCATCCTATACATTACCTGCATTTTTCATTTCTTTATTTGATTATTTTTTTCTCTTCATTGACTTCATATGCTAGATTCAACATTTTCACACCATTTCAACTATACTAGTGATAAAATGGCATGTATATATATATATATATATATATATATATATATATATA